TCTGCCGAAGGCCCTTGAGCGGAGTCCAGACATACCTTTCCACAGACCCCTGAGCCCTTCCTCCCTGGTGATGGTCCTGTAGGCATCCATTGTCCCCCTGTACTTTCTGTTGCTCCCAGGCCCAAGGTGAATGCTGGCCTGAAATCGGACCTTCACCACATCCGTGGGTTGGGCACAGGCTACTGCCATGGCCCCTGTGGTGCAGCCTGCCAAAATCCGGGTGGCGATGCTGGAGTCTGGGGAGAAGAATTGAGACTGGGACAGTGTCCCACCACCTGGCGCCTCTCTGAGCCTGTTGCTATTTTCTGCAGTGCTGTCCCTGTCTGATGCCCACTTCTTCTGGGCCATTACTCTGGACCTTCCTTGATGGGCTTGAGCATCTGTTACCAGCTCCCCACACCCCAGCTCTGCCTCTGAGTCTGAACTTCCCTGGTCTCTGCACCCACAAGTTCTGCTTCCACCCACCCGCAGTTGTCCATGGGATGCCCACAAGCACTCACGGTCTGATCCTTTCGGGGTGTAGAACTGCTTGACGGAGTCATAGAGGCCTATGCGGATGGAGGCGAAGCTCATCTGGCGCTGCAGGCCGGCCACCAGCCCGTTGTAGGGGCTGCAGGGCCCCTCAGTGCGCACCATGGTCAGGATGGTGCCCAACACACCACGGTACTGAACGGTCCGGGCCACCTGGGTCGCTTGGTTCTCCCCCTGGATCTGAGGGCCGCCCCCACAGAAGTGTGAGGAGCTGGGTGGGGTTTGGTAGGTGGATGGGGCTGTGTGCAGAAGGACCTGCCTGGGGCTATACTTCAAGAAGAAGCATGACCTCAGCTGTCACATCCCAGTGAGAATAGCTGAGGTTTGTATAGCAGTTTACAGCTCACAAGCTGTTAGACATGGTGTGGTGTTTGATTCAGAGCAAACGGAGGGCAGACTGTTTCTCCCACTACAGTGGTCAGTGGCTTGCCCAAGGTCACCCAGTAATTCCTTACTTTTGCTTCATACTTCATGGTTTCCCAAGTAGAGCTAGGCCATGAAGCGCCCTGCCATGTCATGGCAAGGAATTAAGATTTTTTATTTTTATTTATTTTTATTGGCAAGGCAACCCTTGGTTGACCTCACAGATTGCAAGGACCTTGCCAGCTTACAATTCCTTATTTTTTTATTTTTATTTTTTACGCTTACAGCACCTGGTCTTCCTAGGTGGTCTCCCATCCAAGTACTAACCAGGCCCTGCCTAGCTTCTGAGATCAGACGGGATTGGGCTTGTTCATGGTGGCATGGTCATAGACGGAATTAAGATTTTTTTGTCTTGGGTGATGGTGATGGGGAAGCGGCAAGACAAGGTCTTAAGCAAGAAGTCAGTGGCCTGTTTGGGGTTCTGTTTGAGGAAGAGCTTGCTGGCAGCTGGTGCAGGTGCCGTGGTGGGGACCTCAGCCCCTCCTCTGATGTGAACAGTGACCTTTGGCCAAAGGGCACCTACCTGCAGGCGGACCTTAGCCGTGTCCAGTGGGAAGGTGAGGAGGTCAGCAAAACAGGCCGCCGTGCCTGCCCCCAGGAACTTCACAGCTGTTGTGGTAGGTACTTCTGAAGGCTTTAGACCAACCATGGTCCCAGGAGGCTCTGTCTGGTCCCTCCAGGGCCCAGTGCAGGTCCAAGGAGAGAAGCCACTCTGCAGCTCTGGGCCTTCGTGCAGGAAGAAGGCTGCAGGAGACAGGCAAGAGGAGACAGATGGAAAATGTACAGTCTGGCTGGTCCCCAGGCTCCCCATAGCACCAGGAGGGACTTTATAAGTGAAAAGCCTGGGCAGCTATATTTAACTGTGAACTGGCTTATACAAACTGGTCACTTTCTCCTCCCTTATCTCTCGTGATCCTTGCCTCCCCACTGCCCTCATGGTGTAGGCAGGGCTACTGGTGGATCTTCACTGTGCCGAGGAGGATACCAAGGCTAAAGCAGTGACCAGACCTGGTTTTGATTCCGCCCCACAATGCTGTTCTCCTTCCTCAGCAATAAGCTGCTTCCTGGGAAAAGTCTGCTCCCAAGGTATATGGAGAGCCTGAGAAGTCTCACCATTTCAGGTCCTTTTATCCCAAATAAAACAAAATAAATGTGCCTCATGAATTAAACTAAATTGCTAGTAATCTTGGATGAAGGCTTGTTTGTTTTGTTTGTTTGTTTGTTTTTCAAGGCTGCCCGAATATACTTTTATTATATTTAAAACAAACAAAATCCTTCTCAGCTTGTGATTCCTTTTCTGTTACTAAAGATATTTAGTCTGTGACTAGAGATGCCTCCTCCCAACCCTGTGGGATCCTGGGCTGATGTCTTGGGCATAGAGAAGTCAGGGAGACCAGCCTTGGGCCACTCAGTGGCTTTGTCTTCCCAGGGCTCTGAGGAAGGTGGGGCTGAAGGGGGGACTGCCTCTGCTCTCTGGGCTGGTGTCAGCCATGTGCTCTTCCTTTCCTCACACTTCCAAGGCTGTCCCTTCTCAGCTGAAGAGGACGAGCTTGTCAGAGGAGGATCAGTCTTGGGTCAAGGGAATATGTCCCTGGTGTGTACCTGTGTCTGCGCCCATCTTACTGCTGGTTGATCAGGGGTATGTTAGCACCTGAGGGTCCTGGTTTAGCCTTGGTTACCTTGGGACTCTGGCACACCTGTCATGGGCAGCCCTGCATTTTTATAGTCTGGACTTCTATGCATCAAGCCTTAGTGGTGATGCCATCTCATAGTAATTCACATCCACTGGTGCCCCAACTCATACCCCTAGTGTGCTGGGATCCAGGACTCTTTAGTATCTTCACCTCTGGAACCAGGACCGGTCCCATAGAGTCGTGAAATGGACAAAGTGTGAGCCCTCTTCCCTACTCTGGTCCTGTGGTGAGGTAACCTGAACTCCTGCCTTGTCTTCATGGCTTACTAATGGGTGATAGGACCTTGGATACATTATTTAACTTCTCTTCAGTAAATGAGAATAATATGTTACCTGTTCAACAGTGATAATTTGATGCCAAAAGGTAGAAGTTCATTCAGGACTGCCATCTACAACTCTTGATTTCTCTGTGCTATCTCCTCAACCCACACAGCACCCTGGACTCTCATTTTTCTCTCACCTTTCCCTGGGACAGTCTGTTCTTAAGATGGAACTGTTTGTTCTAATTCATGCTAAGGCGTAAATGACTATCTCAGTGATCAGTTATTTCTTGATCACTATGCTAGGTACTAGAGAAGAAAAAATATGCAATGAATCATGTTTGGCTCTTGCTCTCAAGGAGCTTACATTCAGAAAGACAGGTGTAGAATTATCCAGATGGAATGAAGGAGGTGAGATGTGGTAGGATGTGTTGAGATTGGAACTAAACCCTAGTCTGGAAGCCTGGGACATAGTGTTAAGGGATAACTTCTAAATCCTGCCCTTAGGAAGGGGTGCTTTTATTTTGATCTCTCTCTGCATGAAATTATATTCAAATTTTTGTTTTTCAAACTTTTAAAATTGAGGTATAACTTACATTTTAATGGTCACTGAGCTGTAAAGGGAATTGTGCACCGATTCTGGAACGTTAGGCCTGGAAAGCAGATGGAGGAGGACATTTTCTGGATGGGAACTTAACTTAGTGTCCAAGCATACGTAAGTCATATCATATCACTCTCCTGTCTTTAAACTGTCCAGTGCTCCCCCCCGCCATTCCATTATTCAAAACAAAGTCAAAAGTCCTCGCCATGGCCTATAGGCCCTCCATAAAATCCGCCTCATGCCAGGGTCTATGCTTTGCGCTCCGGGACATCTGGAGATGAATAAGAACAATGAGTGTGACTTGCCCACAAGGAACTCTCAAGGAGTGTTTTTTGGGGGTGTGGGGGTGGGGAGGAGTGTAATTAGACACATACACAAATAACTGTAGTGCAAGATGGGCTGGACCCATGTCAGAAGGAAAGAGCCATCAAGAAGGGACTCAAAGGTCAGAGAGACCCTCTCTCTTGTTTGTGAGGTGTAATTAGAACAATTTCATGATGGGGGGTGGGTGGGAGGATGGCCGCGTGAGTTAAGTTTTGAAAGGTAGGCAAGATTTCAGCAGCTGGAGAAGTGTGAAGGGTGTTCCAGGTGTGGGGCAGGACATGAACTTATGAATAATACGGTACGGCTTAGGGTAGGAGGAGAGAAAAGTTCACAGGGAGTTTTATACACCATCTCATGGAATTCTCATAACTTTTCTGAGAGGAGCTTCTCCATTTCGCCCACTTTCAATGACCAAACCGAAGCTCAAAGACATATTCTTGCTCAGTGTTAACAGCTATAAGTGTCAGAGCTTGGTTCATTCTGCTATACTAGGCTTGTAACAGCCCTGGAAAGAAGATGGGACAGACTTTAAATCCATTTTACAGATGAGACATAGAAGCTTAAGATGGGAGAGACTGGCTGAAATCACAGAACTCCAGCCAGATTCTTGTGATGGCACTAAGTATCCTTTCACCATTCTACTCAGGGACCCCAGTGGACATGGTAGTATGGATACCCACATTCTTTCATATTATTGAGGGCATTCGAAGTCCTTTGTAGTTATTAAATTATATGCAAACCCATCTGTGGGGAATTAAGTTCTAAGCACACAGAACTACAGCTTGGTGAGGAAGGCTAAGTGGAAATCAATGCTCAGTTTGGCAAATGAAAAAACTGGGTCCCCGAGAGGCTGAGGCCTCTGCAGGTTGCACAAATCAGGCCTCGGCTCCATCTGCAGTGCTCCTCCCATACCCTGTCTTCCTGAATTTTTGCACTGTCTCTTTGACAGGGTTCAAGAAAGATCTGGCTCCTTGGGAGGGTGTTATGGAGGCCCTGGGGCCCTTGGAGCTGAGCTGGGCTGAGGGGACAACCCTGCAGCAGTACTGTCCTCCCTATGCATCTGTCTTCACTCCGCTTTGCTTTACAGAAGACCAGCAGCTGTCTGTGAGTAGAGACTGCCCACATCCTGTTAGCCTCTCTTTCCTCAAATGCTGGCATTTCCCCTGCCATTCACCTAATGTGACGTGGGTTGGGCTTCTTGGAACCTTAGCCTGGGGAACTTGAGGGCCTGACTCTCAGAGCTGGGAGGCCCTTGAGGTCTGTGTTGTGTCTCTTACTGGTTGTCGAATTGTCCCTTCTTCAAAACTTTTGGTGGGGATCTTTGGAAACATGGCGGAGTGAGAGACATCCCAAGATCTCTTCCCTTGAAACAAAAATAAATTGAACATCTAAAATGCAACAACAAAAAAATCACCCAAACTGCACACCAGCATGTCTGAGCGTGGGATCTGCGCATAAGAGCTACCACAGGTCAGAACCCTGGGTGTCAGATGGTGGACTGGGAGAAATAAAGAAGCTGCCTCTCACAGACTCTGGAGCTTCATTCAGGAGAAGGGCGAGGGGGAAAAAGAGTAAATAAACTGAACATCTAAAATGCAACAACAGAAAAATCACCCAAACTGCACACCAGCACGTCTGAGCGTGGGATCTGCGCATAAGAGCTACCACAGGTCAGAACCCTGGGTGTCAGATGGTGGACTGGGAGAAATAAAGAAGCTGCCTCTCACAGACTCTGGAGCTTCATTCAGGAGAAGGGCGAGGGGGAAAAAGAGTGGCAGATTCCCTGAACAGCCCTGCCTGGGAAAGCTGTGAGCTCCCCATGGCCAGCCGGCAGCAGGGCCCAGTCATCAGGGCAGAAGGCAGAGAAGCGGCTGGCAGAGAAACAACAGTTGATTTTTACTAGCCACGGTTACAAAACTAAGGCCGAGGCACAGCCCCCAAACCCCAACCCAGAGGGCTCTCAACCCACACTCTCTGAGACCAGTCACTGCAGAGCCCCATGGGGACCTGAGGAAACACTAATGAAACTGTTGCTAACACTGACAGGGACTGAAACTGAGGGTAGCGAGTGTGATTAAATATCTATCAGAAAATAAAAAGGCATTTTTAAAGCTTTGTATAAAGCAGGGATCCAAGAGGCTTAGATCCCACCTACTGGAAACAAAAGAAAAGCACCTTCTTCAACAGGCTAAAGAGAGACCTTTATATAATAAATCTTTCTGGAGGAAAAAAAAAAAGCAGAATATACTTCCATTAATGGCCAGGCGTAGAAATAGTCCATTAAACACCATGAACAACCAAGGTGACAAGACATCTCAGAAAGAAAGAGAAAAACCTCCAGAAAATAAGCTTACAGACATAGAACTATACAATTTAAATGACAAAGAATTCAGGATGGTACTTCTAAAAAAACTCAATGAGATCTGAAACAACTCAAATCAACAATTTCAGGAACTGAAAAAAACAACTAGATGAGCAGAGCAAGGAGACTGTAACTCTCAAAAAGAAGCAAATACAACTTCTGGAGATGAAGAATACACTACGAGAATTGAAAAATGAAATGGCAAGCTTGGGAAGTAGAGTCGACCAAATGGAAGAAAGGATCAGTAATATCGAAGACAGAAATCTAGAAATAAATCAGAAGGAAGAAGATATAATCCGAAGAATGAAAAATAATGAAAGAGTAATACAAGAACTAGCTGATACCACCGGGAGAGGAAAGAAGAATAATGGGCATTACCAAAGGCAAGGAAAAGGAGCAGGAACTAGCAA